GAGACATCATCCAACCAACAGTCCACGTTTGCCACATCTCGTCGCCTTTGGATCTTGTCTATCACCGGGTGCAATGCCACCTTTGCTAACGATGGCGCCGCTGGGCAACCCGCTTGCACGCCATTTGTAGCTCTGATGCCTGCCGATAGCACCCCATCCGCCACCAAGTATCTGGCACCCATGTACACTTCCAGTGCCATCTTCAGGATTAGCGGCGGATATTGCAGGGCCGTTGCTGCCATGATCAATTGCTGAAATTGGATGGTATCGAAAAAGGACTCGAGGTCCACAAAGAGTGACACCACATGCACGCCATTTGTCTTTGCCACCTCATTTCGCAGTAGTCTGCCGACGGCCACGTCCAAGCAGCAACTGCCTGGGACTGCCTTGTCGTACGTGGCAGCTGTGGCATAGCCTGCCTGCCAAGTACTTACCAAATCCCATCGCAGACGGACCCAAGTCCTGTACAGGATGTGTAGCACGGCGATTGGTCTTTCCCGGGTCAGATTCTTCGGCAGCATTGCTATAAGGGAGACTGTCATTTGCTGCGGCCATGCTGCCTTGGCCTCACATTCATGGTAGAAGGACACAACGGCTTCAACTGCTTTATCGTCCATGGCCTGCAAATGGTCAATCCTCCAGCCAGCTCTTTAGTGCCAGTTTTTTGATCCTTGCCTTGACCTCGACAGGGTTCAGCGGCTCCACGCTGGCCGCTTGTTTTTTGGCTGCATCCTCAAGCTCCGTCATGAGCGAGGCCGATTTTGCCAACGGCTGGCCCGTCGTCCACACTGCCGCCCAGTGATCTCGGCGAATGTGTGGCCGTTCCAGCATGTCATATTCCATGTAGGGTCTTTGTACCACTTGTTCTTCTTTTCGCAAGGCATTGTATAATGGTCGCATGCCCTTTTCCATGGCCTTGCTGAGCCATTGCTTGTACTGGTGGGCTGTCTCCTCCATATCCGCCTTTCTCGCGTAGCATTGCTGTTCGTCGATGCGCTTCAGAACAAGCCTAGCGTCCGTACCCCGGCCCAGGATACTCACGAGCATATCCTCCTGGTTCTGCGCATCACCCTCGTAATACTCGCCGAGCCTGCGTTGGACCAGACGCGCCACCGGATGCGCATCGCCATGATGTCTGCCTTGTTTGACCCATTGTTGGACCCGGTTCCAAAAGGCCGCCCTCTTGCCCGTCCAGACAACGTTCTCCGGGTTGTTGACCACCAATTTCTTCCGCACAATCTCCGATTTAACACCCATACCATCGATTCGGCCTGTGATCGACCTCTCCACACCGGCACTCAGGTGAGCAAATGTCTCACTGAGCTCATCTTCCATCTTGGGTTCATCCAAGATGTTGATGCTCTGTGTGTTTTGTACTGGTTCATACTCCACAGTCTCCGTCACCAGTGCTCCCGCCTTCTTCATCTGGGGAACATCAGGGCTACTGCACGGTTGGGCCACCCTCCAATGCATTGCAGCATGAGGCCGAAAAGGGGTTTCCCAATCCGTTTTCACTTGAAGGATGGGCACCAAGCATTTCGCAACCAGCCCGTAATCGATTTCGTCCGATCCTTGGGCCGTTGGTTCCCCCACTCCAACAAATGCACCACCAACTTCTGTCGCCAGAGTTGTGCCCCTCATGGTATCCTGGGCTTCATTCCAATCACCCAGCACCATATATGGCACTTTGCAGCCCTTGAGAAAGGCTATCAGTCTCGCCAGTACTTGGATATTGGACCCTGGAATCCGACCCCGCTCTCCAAATACAGACTGACGATGATCAAATCCCAGCCTTTATTTCTCATGGCACATGCCAGGAAGCCCGCCGGTCCTGTCCCATACTCAATAAGGTATCGCAGGTTCCTATGTCGGGGTGCCACCACTGCCAGGCCTCCTTGTACACCCTTAGTTTTTGTACTGCCTGGCATGCCAATGAAGGTGTATCCCATATCTTGGCAATGGCTCATGGCTTGCTGGATACCCTCTGTCTTGAGATGGGTTTCCTGCAGCACCACCAGGTCCGGTCCTAGTTCGTGTATCCATGCCGCTATGGGTTTCCTCCAGCTGGTGATGTTAGCCGAGGTGATTTTGATGCATTCGGCCTTATCATCTTGGCGATACCCACTTGCCACATCTGCCAAGATCCACTTGGCATATTGTGCGTCCTGCTCCACAAAGGAACGAAGCACTTCGTGGCATGCTCGTTGTTGTAGCGGGTTGAGTTCCTGCTCTTCCAGTTTCTCAATGGCTTCGAGTGCGGCAGCCTCACTGGAAGCATCATATCTACCCACCACTTGACACAACATTTGCCACTCCTGTGGTAGATCCTTAGGTGGTGCTCTTGGGTGCGCTTTCCGTTTCTTGGGCTTTTGCTTCCTTTGGTGACCCTCAGCACTTTGCGAGGCCGACAACCTTGCTTCCTCAGCTTTCTGCGAGGCCTTTAGGCTATCCCCTCTTACCGCAGTTGGGTCTCCCATCTGTGTTTGGCTTCCCTCTGCTTTTTGCGAAGCCGAATTCACCCATTCATCCTCATGGTCCGCACCTCCCAGACCGAAGTATCTGGGACCTGTGACCGCCCAACTGCTATCCACAGCACGGGCTGACTTTGGACCCCGCGTTACTGGACTCCAGCTCTCTTGGCTGTCTTCCACTGTGCTGTTTGTATTAGGCACTTGGGTACTACACACAGCTTGACTGCCTTCCCCATGTACCTGTGGCCATACAATGTCCCCGTGACACTGCTTTCGGCCACCGCCAAAAGAGAAATCAGAGTCTCCCCGTTGAGACTCCTCTACTTGTCCTGCTTTCATAGTTTGGCTGTTCGGACCAGGAGCTGCCCTGAGGTGTCGGCCCCTCCGCTCCTGTCCCAGCCTGAGGTTTCACTCGCCCTGGGCACGCGCCGGCGAGCGTTCGCGCCCCGTTGGCGTTGCCCTGACTGACACATCTCGAGACATGCGCATCGGCCCATATATGCCAAGTTCAACTGGCATGCTCGGCTCTCTTGGTCCCAAGACTCCCGTCCAGTCTGTCTCCACGACTTTGACTGCCATCCTTGTTTTGAGCGCCTCCGCTTGCTCCTCAGACAGGATGATCCCTTCCTTTTCCAGGTAGTCCGCGACGTCCTTGTATGGCGAGTCCTCTGAATCCTTCACACAGGCTTGGACTTTCTTCTGTGCTTCCGCTACCTCCAGCTCCGTGGCCTGGATGGCCTGGCTGACTTGCGCAAGCTGCTTCATGGCCTGCTCGAACTCGCTCTTTATCTTCTCCGTTTTGTCTTGAAGCCGGACCTTCTTCTCAATGAGCGTTCTCAGCTTGTTTGTCGTCCGTCTGTATGTACCAACATGGCGGCTGAGTTCCTGCTTTGGCGTCTCGTCCTCAGGCTTGTAGTCCCCCGGCGGGGGTATCCCCGCCGCTCTGAGGAGCCTTTGCACTGCGGGCTCGGCTCCTTGCCACACAGTCTCAATGGCCGCATGGTACTCCTTCTGTGACATGCTTTCTGCCTGCAATCCATTGCCAGGTAATCCCGGGGGCCAAATTGGCCCCGGCTCCATCGTCCGCGGCTTCCATCCTGCTTCTTCGATGGCCTTCTTTGCCTCCATAGAAAGCGTACCCCACGCCTTCGTGAGGGCTTGATCGGCCATCCCTTCTTTGTTCTTGGCAGGTCTTGTCCACCAAGTAGCATCTTCCTTTGGCCATTGCCACTTCTTCCGCTGGCTTGACCATGCTCGCTCACGGTAAGTGGCCTTTTTCCACGCCTTTCCGCAATGCCAGCAGTACGGGTTGTAGTACAAGTCTTCATTCCAGACCCAACCCACCTCGCAGTGGGCACACACAGTACAATGCTTCCTCATGACTGCTGCAGCCTGATGCCAGTCTAAAACGATTTAGGGTTCGTTCCAGACCCTTGAACTTGAAACCACTAGCGGGCACTTTTTGCTGGGACTCGGTCTGTTCAGCAGTCCCTTGAGCCTTGTTGGCAGCAGTGAAACGACAAGGAAAAATACTTCTACAGGGGGGGCACATGGCTAACCGAAAAGTTTGTTACCCCCTCTCCGAGTTACACTTCATTGCCTCACACTTCTCATCGCAATTAAGTTCACTCGGATGCAAACTCCTCATCCCTCACTTCGGTCATCCTTTTCCTTTAAATACATCGTGGTGCACACTTCTTTTGTTGGTGTGAAACGTGAAACGAAGAAACTACGCTGCTACTGGTAGCCTCTCTCACTTCTCTTCAAACACATACACAGACGGCTTTTTCAAGACTTCGTCCATAGGTGCGATCCTGCACCTTTAGTTTATTGTCATTTCGGACATCTTTCTCTTCCAAGCCCCCTCAGGGCGTCACTTCTTCTTTTCACCTTCCTCTTTGGGCTTCTTCCCTTTTCCTTTTCCATCTCCTTTTCGGAACTTCTTCTTGTTCTCGTCTAGCAACTTTGCGTACTCGGCCCTAATCTCCTTCTCATTTTCACGAAAGTACTTCCTGAACTGGGCCTTTGTTCTCTCCGTTCCATCCTCGTTCTTCACATTCAACCACGGGGTGTATTTCCCATTCTTGTCGTAGGAATACCCTGCGTCCCAACACATCATGTAGCTGTGGCCGTGTCGGGAACACAGAATGCAAAGCTTCTTCTTTTTGTCTTCCTCCTCGTCGGTCTCTTCTTCGATGTTCAAAACGAACTTCCCTTCCAGATTCTCCTGTCCTTTCTCGCTTTTCAACTTCTGGAAGTCACTTTCCAACTTCTTGTTGGTCTCCGACAAACCTTTGATGCTCTTCTTCAAGGTCTTATTCTCCTCTTTCATGCTCTTCGCTTTCTCTTCATCCATGGATCCAACGCTTTCACGTTTCCTCTTTCGGAGCATCTCCAATTCTCCTTTCATCGCTTCCATCTCTTTCTCGTTCTCTTCCTTTTTCTTCTTGAGCTTCTCGTTTTGCTCTTGAACTTCCTGAAGCTCAATTTCCACCTTCTGCTTTCCCAATCGCAAATCCATGAGCTCTTCCTTGATTGCGACGTCCACCTTTGGGTTCAAAAGCGGCGGCCTTTCTTCCTTCTCGTACTTTCGAAGCTCTTTTCTCTTTTCACCCAGCTCTCGCAACGCTTCGGCCAGCTTTGGCCTCAACTCATCCATCTCCTTTTCCAACTCTTCTTCATGCTCCAAAATCTCATCAGCTTGGGCTTCGATCGCTTCACAATCCTTCTTGCTCTTTTCCAACTCATCCTCCAACTTGTCCCACAGCTCGGACAAATTCTCTTTTTCTCGTACCTTGACCGCTCGGTACACCTTCGCCTCCTCGTACCTTTCCGAGGTCGAGGCAAACGCTCTTCGGGCCTCATCCAGCTTCTCCTTTTTCTCCGTCATTTTCCCCAAGAGCTCTTTCACATTTTTCTCTTCTTCGAGCACCTCTTTCTTCGCTGTCTCCTTGAGAATCTCTTGTACATCTTCCTCCTCGCTCGAGGTCTCTTCTTTTTCACCTCCATCTTTCCTCTCTTGGGACTCCTCGTCGGACTCTTCTTCCTTTTTCTCTTTCTCTTTTGGCTGCTTCTCTTCGCTTTTCTCTTGGGACTCCTCGTCGGACTCTTCTTCCAGACTCTCTTTCTCTTCTGGCTGCTTCTCTTCTTTCTTGTCGAAGATCCCTTTCCTTCTTTTCTTTGCTGCTTCCTGGAGCTCTAGCAGCTCGACCTTTCTCTTTTCGACTTCTTTCTCCTCGCTTCCAGCGCTGCTTCCAGGTTTCTCTTTAACTCCATACTTCTCATCCAACTCTTTCACCTTTTCCCCAAGCAACACCAGGTTCTCTCTTGGCCCCGAGCGGCAGAGCTTTAAAGCTTTGTTCAAAAGCTCAACTGCCTCAAGGGATCTTGCGTTCATAATCATCTCCTTGAGGGCTGCCTCGTGAGCTTTCACTGCCGCCTCTTCGGTCGCTTCTAAAGCGCTTGGCTGGGCCTCCATCTTTTCTTTTTCTCTCTTTTTCTTTTCCACCTGGCCTTCTCTTTTGCTTGAGCTGAAAACGGCTGCGGACACGCACAACTTCTCTCTAGCGTACTCTCCAAGCACCGGACTACAAACCATGAAAAGCAACATCATGACCATGATTCCCGTGAACATGTAAAATCCAAAACTCAACTCTTTCTTTTCACTTTTCAACCCTTCACTTCCTTGAACCATTAACATCATCACGATTCTCCTCAGGTACTTCTTCGGGATCTTGAACTCCGAGGCTCCTTTGGGCTCCCTGCTTTCTTCTCCTGTTCTCACGCCCATTTTTTCTAAACACTTCACAACCAAACTTCTTGTCAACGCCTTTGTTCCTACGTCCGAGGGGTTTTCGGTTCCTTTGATTGCTTTCACTTTCAGGCCTCGTCCGGTGAGTTGTTGAACCCACAACAATCCGGCATCAACGTGCCTCGTTCTTCCAAATCCTTTCT